CATAACCAATAGTACGGCATATCATATAGAATCTACAAACTAGAGTAGGATTCGAACCTATGATCACTTGCCACGGTAAGGAGAGTTCAACATTTAGGATAAGATCGCCACTTTTTATCAGATACAAAATCCTAAAGTTAAACATTTCTAAATTAGAAATGTATTTTTGTTGATTCTTAAGAGAGTTATTTCAAATTATGTTTATTTTAAAAATATTTTGCTTTAGTCCCCCTCCCACCCCTGCTGGTTTGGCGATAAGCTTGAAGTCTTATAACGCTAGAATTTGGGAGTGCACCCATGGGAAACAACTCATTGAATATCTTTGCTCTAAAATAAATATTTTACTTTAATAGCAGTATAATGAAAAGTTACGTTTTATTATTATTACACAGGTGTAAACTGGGAGCATAACCTGACAAGCAAACCTGCATAAATAGACAGACAATTAAAGGCAAAACCATTTCTAAGTTTATTCTAGAAAATTGTGACGCGATTAATCTAAAAGAATTCGGGCAAAATCGGACGTAAATACATGTTTTGATTATTGCCAGTTAACGTCACCCTGTAATTAGTCCGAGTGTTGTTTTTTAACATATCTTTTCATGGTGACTGTCGTCGTTAAAGATTATATTGTATATTATATAATACAAACTGAAGTTTTGTGTGCATTAACGTGCTCAGATCATATTCGTTTTAAAAAGTTTCGATTCTTATTGGTTAAAGTTCCATTCTGCGTTTTAGAAAAAATGCGGTAAAATTGTTTTCTCACCATTACTCAGCGCTAAGCACAATTCAACAAGCTTGAAGTCAGGACGTTAATATTTCGCTTGAACATATAACACTTATTTCGGGAAGAATTGTAGTAACTTTAACAGTGCGAATATAATACTTGTGAACAGGCATACTAAAGTTGTTTTAATGGGGAAGGAGCAGGACTTGGTGATTAGCGACCAGTCTGTCGATCCGAGTTTTCGTGCTTCGCACCTCGTTACCGCAAAATAAATAAATAAATCGCGCTACGTGCTTTGGGACCGTGGGTGCGTTATAAGAGTGACGATAAAATCTCACTATTCAATTACACTAAACACTGAGTTTGCAGCAGGTGGTGTTCCCTCTAACCTACCACTTTAAAATAAGGTACGGTTAGCAAAAAGAGCTCTTGAGAAGCTTTGCGCGAGATTCATCAGACAGTACGGATATAACGTTTGTGAACAGGAATACTGTATTAATTTTAACAATACGGATATAACGTTTGATAACAGGAATACTGTATTAATTTTAACAATACGGATATAACGTTTGATAACAGGAATACTTTAGTATCTTTAACAGTACGGATAGAACGTTTGCTAACAGGAATACTGTAATAACTTTAACAGTACGGATAGAACGTTTACTAACAGGAATACTGTAGTAACTTTAACAGTACGGATAGAACGTTTAGTAACGCGAATACTGTAGCAACTTTTACAGTACGGATGAAACGTTTGCTAACAGGAATACTGTAGCAACTTTAACAGTACAAGTGTAACTAACTTTTTTTTAGTAGGAATACTTTAGGAACTTGGCTTTAAATGTGGTACAGGTACATTGTATTTACTTTTAAAACATAGTAACTCGGAAGATTGAATGGCACGACTTTAGTATCTTAGTTAGAAATAGTATAAAAAGCAAATAAACAAGCTGTTTCGATAACTAATTGCTCGGGAAATCGTCAGGAAACCACGGTAAAACTCACTTAAATGCTTAGACATAGATACTTACTATTCTATAAAGCTTGCCTGACGAGGTGTTGTAAACTACTGTGTGAGCCTAACACGGGAACTTAACGCGATACCTGAATGATCAATGAACTAGGTTTTCGAGCACGTTTAGTGGTATAAATCACTTTAGTTTCTAGCCCTGAAGCACAAAGAAACTAGTAAAATACCCGGGAAACAGAAACCAATCGAACAACTTTGCACACCTTGTTTCATGAACAACCGTTTACGTGTTATTTTCAATTATTAAAGTCAATCCGTGCAGTCAACCGGGAGAGCATCCCAAAACCCATCCCCCCCACACACATGGGGGGGGGGGGCAAATTGAAATATTTCTAGAATCTGAAAAGTAAATTCTTGTTTGGAGCGATAATTTACAACCAGTCCCAACTGCCTCCAAAACTCCATGACCTTTCCTTTGGTAGGCTGAGTATTAAAATTTCGAAAATTCAAACATAAGTACTTATTCTGAATTCAGTTCTTCATGTACAAGCCAATTTTCATGTAATTCCGTAGAGCTAGTTCTTGGAATTCCCCCAACTCCTTTGATACCTATATTTGGACTACTGTATGAAAATTTCCGAAATCTGAATTTTTGTTATTGCATTGAATGATTTCTTACAATTTAATGCTATTTTTTCAAATAAATTGGATCGTTCAAGCCTCAAAATTTGCCAAAAGTTCTTGATCGCCCATTTTTTCGGTTTCCTTTCGAAATATTCTTCTTCATTTACATGATGCGAGGATCAAGAGCCTGCTTGGAAAATCTCGAGTCGTTTAAGTAAAAAATTGTGAAGGGTTCAAAAAATGAGTAAACATAGATACCTGGATAACACTGAGTTAGCTGTTGTATTTATTTTTTCTACATAGCAGGAAATAAAACCAGTCCAAGCTAATTAGTTATCGTTGTGTTCCCATCGTTTCTCAATTTATTTTTATGGCACTTTTCCAAACACGCATGTTTGATGTTTGGTAAGACCTTTATTGTGGTTTTGCTGCCTCAAAGTCCCGATTATTTATGAATACCTGCGTAAAAGTGTGAGTTCAGTGATGCATGAAACTTATTATGGATGTCTCGAACTAATATGAGGTTTCGTAGGTCTAACATCACAACAGTACATTTTCGAATAATCATTTTTTGTATATTTAATTTGGAAATAATCACACCCACTGTTTTACATAAGTGTGTTTTATTGAGAGAACTTTGACACCGTAGAAGAAACATTCTTATCTTGGGGAACAATCATAGTCAATTACACTGACTATTTGGATGGGTATTCTAGTCAAGGATATTCTAACATCTTGTACAAGTACAACGTATTTAATATTCAAACAGATATCTAACACGTGGGAGTATAGGGGGAAAAGTACAAAAACGAGAGTTAAAAAAAAAAACTTAAGCGTGTCCAGTCAACCGTGATCTTGTGTTACAGAGCTCTAATTGACGTTTTTAATTGGCACATGTGATAGAATCTGGTGAGATTCAGCAGGAAGTTTGCACTGTCGTTTAGCCTACAGGTGTGGTAAGCAGTTCCCACGATCACCCAACAATGTATTTATCCAACCTGTGTTTTTTTTTTTTCAACGCTAACACTGTTGGTATTATTGGGATTTAACTGGCGGTTAAACGTTGCTTATTCAGTACTTTAAAAATATTGATTTGCCACAATATGTTATTAATTCGAAGGAATACGTGTGCCAGAAGGTGACAAACATCTTCAGCATTAATATGATTATTAGTTATAGCATGTTGAGAAGATATCGGTTGTTTGACTTGCATTTGATGTCTCGGGAAGATGGGCTAATTTTCGCGACGTAGTTAGTGAGTTTTTTTTCTCTTGCTGTTTGTTAGGTTTCACTAAGTATAGCGGTGTTTCGATTCACACAATGTCACACTGAGGATGTGAAAATAAGAGTTGTCAATGATTTTAATTTTCGAACTTTGTATCATCGTTTCAGTTTGGCTCAAGGTGCCAGGTTCTTCTGTCTGTATTCAGAGCCCAAGACAGTAAATTAAATGTAACTCAAGTGGGATACTATATCTAAGACCCCTTAATAACATTCATTCCTACAAATTAGCCATCGCCCTTTTGAGGTATGGCGATATAGCAAGAGATAAGCGCCTTAGTCATCAGCTATAACGTTGCAGCAGACTTGAGTTATTGAATAATGAACTTTCTTTAGAGAGAAAAAAAAATTGTGCTTCCTGTCTGCAACTTTAATATTTCAAATAGCCTAACATAGGCCTTGTGTTAGATCATTATAATTACGAAAGTATTCATATTAAAATGTTAAAAACTAACTTTAAAAAAGACCGTCATTGCTGTTAAAATTTATCACAATTTCAACATGTTTTAAAGTTAAATAATGGTTTAAAAGATGTGTCAAAATTTTTCATAAAAATACTACTGAATGTTCACTTCTCAGTAAGTTACTACGCGATGTAAACCCGTTGTTTATTTGTTACCAAATTAATTATGAGAAAAGCCACGATCAATATAGGATTAGAAAATAACCAATATGATATTTTAAAGAAAGAAAATAACACACATAGAATAAATATGGAGCCCAATCTGTCATTAAATTTACCACTTATCACAGAGTTATATCGGTGTCGAGGAATTCCATTTCACATCAGTAACTAGGAAAAGAGCAAATCGAAAGAATAAGACTAGGTTTCTTATAGTGATGGAAGTGATTAGTATATGTGCAGTGTTTTATGAGTAAAAGACGTATGAATGATATACAGTTTGCTAGTTTCTGTTTAAATGCAAAGCTGCACAAAGGACAATCTGAGCTAACACTCGCTACAGGAATCGAACCAATAATTTTAGTTATAAGCCTTCAAGCTTACCACTGAACCAGAATAAATAGTTTTGTATTACTTGACGACATTTTACCATATGAAAAAAAAGGTGACCTTAAATAACTTCAAGAGACTTAGATTTGACCACATCATTCTTTTTTTCTGTTTGTAAGTGGGAAGAAGGGAATAGTCTGTATTATTTCAAAAATTTAATTTTGGAAACTGGACACAGTTCATATGGTTTCAGTGGGTTCAGTTAGAAGAAGCATACTCAAAGTTAGCATTGTACCAGGATTCTGACAAAAGATATTTCTTGTTGTAATATATTTTTGTGACATTAAAGAGGAACCAATAATCGGTGTTTATTGATTTATTCATTATCGTTTTGACGTTATCAAATGTGTTTTATAAGAATACTTCTTTGTCTTCTACAGGTGAATCGGCCACTGACTATGAAGAAAGAAGGAATCCAAACACGGAATCGGAAATTGTCCGCTAAGAGTAAGAAGAAGTGTGCTTTCGGTTTACACGACCGCCTCAAACCACTGGACAAGTCATTCTCTAGTTTTACCCCAACCGGCCACTTGGGGGCTACCATGTCCTCCATGCCTATGGCCGTCAACCATTACATGCAACAAACCAATATACCAATCTCAATGGGCGGCTACGTTACAACACCACCTATGCACATGAGCTCAGCACCTGGGTTCTCTGGGCTTTCACTGCCCTCTAGTGGCCCCCTACCTTTAGGCACAGGGACCTTAGGCCTACCTACTTCAAACAGTATGGTTGGTGCCATGGCTTGAACATTTCTGGTGAAGACCTGTAGTGATTATTGTTGATGCAGAGTACGAATTGATCGAAAAAAAGAAATGTTGCTGAATCGCGTAACTGTAACAATGATGAGAGAACTGTGCTGCCTTCTGTTGAACAAGTGCTTCACTAATACTCCAGCCACATCCTAAAGTATTATTGTTATAATTGTTCCTGATCAGACAGTGACCGATTAGTGGGTGTCGATCTAAATTCACAGGTAGCGAGCAGTTTTGCATATAAAGACTGAGAAATAATGCATAGAAATAAAAAGGATCAACAGACAATGACTGCTAGCTCCAGCTAACTGCCTTCCCTGGGAGGCTTAGTGTACAAACCAGGTCTTCCTGAAATAATATGAGTGTTTAAGTTAGTGTGCATTTCTTCAATATATCCCCTTGTTATGAAAGTGTAGAAACATCCAATCTCACTAACCGAAGAACCCGATTGTAGGACGAGTAATGAGAGTTGTGTGCTTTAAGAAGGGAAGAGTAAGCACGTTGTATAAACAACGTCAATGTAGATACATTTCCTAAACTGTCTACATGTGTGGCAATTGCCAATGTTAGAAGGTGTTTTACTTAGGTACTGTACTACTCATGGAACAACCGCTCTTCATCTGTATATAAAACTCTACAGATAGCTAATATTAGTGTGTTTTGGTTTACTAGAAACACAAATAGCGCAGGTTCTCGTGCTGTTTAAACGTATGTGTCCAAGCTTTATTTAGGGGCGTTCAGGGCTTTGTACTGTTTGTATCTCCAGTCAAAGCTGACCATTGTTGTCAGCTTTCCTCCATCTTGGTACAAGTAATATATATTATAGAAAGTTCCTTAAGCTCTATGTGTAATATAAGTATTCTCTGTTTTATGTGAAACAAATAAAAGTTCAGATTAGAGCCGACTTTTCAACGTTTTCTTTTGTATTTAATTAAAATGATTTCTACTGTTAGACGGTTGTCATAGAAAAAGGCATAAATAATTAAGAAAAGCATTATAGAATTTTTTTTATATTTCCATTGGAAATATTTGAATATAAGCAACGTGCTTGACAATATTTTTCTTCTAACATCATTTTCCAGTCTCATTGAATGGACAAGTAATTATGGAGAAATACTTACGCCACGTTTTTATTATTATTATTATTTTGCAAACAAGCTTTATTGTATAACAATAAAATTTCTCATATTTCTGTATCGTACACACATCGCGATCTCTACTCCAAATGATGAATTAATTTTCAAATCTTTATTCGGTTGCGCCTGAAGAAAGCTACTTCATACCGTCGAATACTCGCTTATGTAAAATAATGATGATGATAAGTTTGATGTATTTTCATGTAAAACGTTTCTCTGTATTTTGTACTCTGTCTTGAACTATAAACTATCACACACTGCGTACTTCTTTCCCGTAAGTTAATACACTGTAAATAAGTGTACTCATTTTATAATCTAAGATTGAATTTATGGTATCATACGATCTTATTCCCTCAGTGGGTCAGCAGTAAGTTTACAGACATGCAACGCTAAAATACGGGGTTTAATTCCCTGCGGCGGACAGAACGCAGATAGCCTATTGTGTCGCTTTGCGCTCAAACAAACAAACGTAATGAGCTTGATTTTAAAACGTCACCTAGCGGAACAGAAGGCTGATTCTGAATTAGAATAGGTCTGCCAATTCTGCCAACAGTAACAACATTAAATAAATCAAGTACCTTGCTCAACTCACTTATTCTGCCAACACTAACAACATTAAATAAATCAAGTACCTTGCTCACCTCACTTATTCTGCCAACACTAACAACATTAAATAAATCAAGTACCTTGCTCACCTCACTTATTCTGCCAACCGTAAGGTTAGCAAGTTACAGGTACAATTAACGGATTTAAACGAAGGTTTGAATAAATTATTCAAATAGCTTAAACGCATACAGATGCGGAAAATTTATCGTTTTTGTGGTTAAAAAAAAACTTGTGTATTATGTTAAATTACTAGTTGAACCCAATTATTATGACGGTTGCGTATACACTGTTAAGCTTGAAACACCGATAGCTGACAAACACAACTTTAGTACAGAATTGTTACATTCTGTCGGAGCTTCAAACCATACTGATTTAAAAACCAGTATCTTATTATTCAAACTATCACCATCATTAGAAAATAAAGAACTTCTGAATAATTCACTGTGTTATATACAGCTAATAAACTTTTAAATTCTGATTTATGCACACGGGAAGTCACCATTTAACGGTGTAGTGTAATACGCCAAAATTTTATATAAGTTTAAACACCAAACAATAAAGCTTCTAATTATAAAGTTTTAAAAGCACCGATTTATAGAGTTATTATCAAAAGAAATTGTTGCCCAAGTAATCTTAATTATAGCTAAAACATAATAATGATATATCGATAGAACTACAATATCACAAGAAAACGATATTTATCAATGAAGATTTTAATACTGGCATTAAAGATATATATTGTATTCTTTTATCCGACGTTGACTTGCTTTACTTATGATTTCTAGAAGTCTTAAGTTTATCTTAAAACACATCCTTACCAAACGTTTCTCGGTAGCAAGACATTAAAACCTTTATTAGGTTTTCATGCAAATTCTCAAAATATTTATTACCGTGATTATTGCAGTTACGGAAATGCATATAAGAACAAGAAAAGTAAAAAGTAAATGGACATGAAACTGATGTGAAAGACGTCTGTATCGTTTTAAATTGCTAACGGGCAACAATGAGTTAAGATTTACTTTTCGGCTTATTTCGGATAAAATTCTCTAGATTTTACTACTAAAAATGAAATCCAAAACTCGTCTAACAATCGTCTTAATACATCAATCAATAAGGTAAAGAGAACATTTTATTCAAAGATGTTTCATTATATTTCTTAAATCAACATATTTTCCATTCTTACTTCTATTAATATTACCTACAAAAAAACTCAAATATAATTTATATTCCTAAACCTAATTTGCTGTATGACTCATTAGAATTTCCTTGAAATATTATTAAATAATTTCAAAAGATAAACTATTTTGTTTATATTAGCTTGAAATGTATATTAGAACACGTATTTAGATATCAGTAGAAATTACAAACTTGTGTCATTGTCTAATTTTGGATAAAAACAACATGGAAAATATAAATTACTAGATATATTTCATTACTTTAGCTATGGTAACGGACACAACATCAAACTTGATGAGTAAACTTAATTGTTAAGGAATTTGTGATTTAGTGTTCTTTGTAAACAAACTCTAGTACATTTGCGGTAGCCAAGAAGTCTGGACACTTTAAAAGTGCCTTCTAGTAATGGTAGAGAACAGATTCGCTTGGTATTTGGTATTTTTAACCCGAATAACACCTTATGCGACAAATAGGCTAAAGACCCCAAGAAGCAGAAATAGCCAACCCCAATTTAGAAGTTACAGTTTAGGATTGATTGCTGATTAGATAGAGGGTAGTCAGTCAACTACACGGCGACTTTAAACCTACTAGAGGATTATTTAAACAATGTAGTGCTCTTCTGAGGATAATTAAAGACATTTTCAAACAATAATAAACATTACTACCTTAAAAATAAGATCTGTCACAAGTGAAAATATTTTAAAAAACACAACTAGTCTCGGCCACGGTTTATACCGCATATATGAAGAGTATTTCAGAGAATCTTTTGTCACTCGTTGCCCAACCCAACAGATGAGCTCTAGTATTGAACGAAACACTATTGACACTATAGTGATTTGTAGGAGACAAAAGATAGATTACAAATGCGCCTCTAATTTTGAATCCGAAATAAATAAATTAAAAGAAACGTAAAAAAATCTACAGTCAACATGATTTTTATCGCAAATTTTAAGCTTACTGAACCATAATTTAGGACCGTTGATCAGAGAGATGGCACCTTCACCCACCACCTACCTGGTTACTAGAAACCTGAAAACGAGATTATTTAAATAACAGTTCTCTTCTGAGGGTACTTAAAACATTTTCAAACAACTTGTAATAAAAAGTTAACAAACTTTAGTTCATTAGCCAAAACTAAACCCATAACAAATAACATATTTTAATAAAAACGATTAGTTTCGACCATAGACCTACATCAGGTGTCAGTTAATTGAACACGTCTTTCGTTATTGGGAAGAAATTAATTTTTCAAAACGCATTCAAGATGCCCGAGATTTGATCAACAGTACTGATGTGCACAGAAAAGTTGAAATGAATAAATATCGGAGCTATCTATCTAGATGAAGTATTATTTTAAACATTTTCACACCTATCAAAAATAAACACTTCATCTAATGATCTCTGATGTATCTGTTGCATTCCTTTAATACAGCATATTCTTTTTAGCGTTGACCCCCCTCATCTGAATTCTTCAGTTTTTTAATGCATAAATTAAACTATGGAATAAACATATTCACAAAATTAACTTTTATGGTTGCTGTCAGTATTGCCTTTCTCATTTACTGTCATAACATAATCTTTGGATTCTTTATCAGTGTACTCTCTGAGTTATTTATTATTACGCCCTTTGGATTCTTTATCAGTGTACTCTTTGAGTTATTTATTATTACGCCCTTTGGATTCTTTATCAGTGTACTCTTTGAAATATTTATTAGTGTGTTCATTGGATTCGTTATCAGTGTACTCTTTGAAATATTTATTAGTGTGTTCATTGGATTCGTTATCAGTGTACTCTTTGAAATATTTATTAGTGTGTTCGTTGGATTCGTTATCAGTGTACTCTTTGAATTATTTATTAGTGTGTTCGTTGGATTCGTTATCAGTATATTGTTTCATTTATTTATCAGTATACTATTTAAATTCCTTATTACTGTACTGTTTGAATTCCTTATCAGTGTGCTGTTTGAATTATTTTTCAGTATACTATTTAAATTCTCGATCTGTGTGCTCTTTGGATTCTTTATCTGTGTATACTTCGAATTATTGATGAGAATATCCTTTCGATTTTTCATCATTTTATCTTTTGAATTCTTTATCATCCTATCTTTGAATTTCCATCAATGTTCCCCTTATAATATTTATTATTGTACCCTTTTTTTATCAATATGCCCTTTCGATTCTTTGTCAACGTAAGCTTTAACTTCTTTGCTTATATTTATTATTCTTTAGATGCTTTGGAAATGAAACTACGCAATTAACAACATAAAGAATACATTAAACATTTTCAATCATGGATGTATCAGCGGCGAAATAATTCTAGACCTAATAAGCAACTGTATCGATTTATCAACATTTCACTGCTGTTACAGTCCACAAAAGTCAAATACATTACAGATTAAGTTTAGAAGTTTTTTTATCAAAACACCTTTTGTTTTAGAAGCTAAGTTTTCAAAAACTGGGGTTTTCACGTCATAAATTTCATTTTTTTGCAAGATCTGTGGAACCAATCAGGATTTTTGTAATCGCATGCATCATATTTAATTGACAAGGCCTTCTAGACTTCCATAAGAATAAATGCACGTTCAATCATTTTATCTAAACCATCTAATATTCATCACTTTTCAGTAATCAGCCAAAAAACAAACAAATATACTAAGACTGATATGCCAGCAACAGACACTTCTTTATTTACCACATTTAATGAATGTGTTGTTGTTGTTTTTTGATTGAATACTTTTACTACTGAAGATAGCACTGTGTGAAAGAAGTAGAGTACTCGCTGAATATTTTACTTACGTGTGTGTGTGTGCAACAAAATGTCTATGGCATAGAAATAATTTTTTTCCTTTAGCTGAAAGCTCATAATGTATGTTGTAAAATATTAGTAAAAACAGTACTTTCAGTTGACATTTCTCTTCCAACTTGTTAACAAAACTGAAACCAGTTGCGGTGTTCAAAAGGATTGACGAATCTTGAAGC